CCCCTCCCCCCACTCACGCTCTCTTAAAAAAAAAAATAAAACGTAAACATACACTTACACATGGTCCATCTGAGTCCTGAGAATTTACCCAAGAGAAAGGAAAACACAAAACCTCGCATACAGTCACAGCATACTCCCCATAGCCCCAAAGTGGAAACGAGCTAAAAGTCCAAAGACCAGGGAACGGAGAAACAAACACGTGGGACGTGCGGTGGGTGGGACACTACTGGGCAGTGAAAAGGAAAGCCCTCAGGAGGCAGCAGAGGTCACCACGACAGGACGAGGGGGACTTCGGTCCCCTACACCTCACCGGGAGCCTCGGGGCTATCAGGGAATTTCTCTGGGTCCCTTTTCTCCAACTCCCCCAGCCCTGCACGGCCATCACTTTATAACTAACTGGCTGACAAGTCAGCGTTCAGTAGTCACAAAGGAGAAAACAAAGACAACGCAACAGGGGAATTCAGGCTCCCGGGGAGCTGCCTGTAAAGCTTGGCAACCCCTCAGCTGCTACTTTCACAACCAAAACTCCAGTGCCAGACCCGCGTATTTCTTGAGGCAAAACACCATTAGGAAGAAGTACTTTGCTTCTGAGCAAATTCTCAAGGCCGCAAAGTTCACAACCTCGCGTGACGGTTTTCGGAAGCGTTCGCCGGCTTGACACCCACGTAACTCCTATCCCGATTTCGAGATCACAAACGAAGAGAAGAGGGTGGTCCCGTACGGAGCAGGTGTCTCCCTTCCAGACAGGCGACACTCCACTCCACGGCCGCTGAGGGTGTGGCGGTGCGGGGCCCAGCCTCTCTCAGCCCCGCTGTCACCCGCCATGCTCCAGTCGGGCCCGTGAAAACACACAGAGCACGTGGGGTGGCATGGGGAACTGGGGAGCCACCCAGCTTATGCACGGCACGTCACATTCTGCAAGAAGAAAAGTGCTTGCCATTGCCACCGTGCCCTCTAGGCTCCAGGAACGCATTCACTCCCAGCGTGGGGTGGTCTGCGGGACAAATCCGGGGTCCTTCTCTCGACACAGCACCCGCGTTGACAGCAGTGCAGAAATGGGTGCCCCAAAGGAGCCGCATTATTCCTTAGACGGTGCTGGGCCTCGCCGCCCCCGCACACGGCTGAGCCGCCCGCTGGCCGGCAGCCCTCAGCCCAGTTACACTAAGGAGTCAGGCCAGGCACCCCGTGGGTCCCTGTCTTCCTTGGGTGCTCTGAAAGGGAAGCAGACACAGGAGGCCCAAGTGGGAGTCCCTCCTCTGTCCCAGCCAGCTGAGAGCTGAGCGACTGGGCAAGCGGCCGCCTCTCCGGTCAACTCGTGTGTGAGACCAGGACGGGCCACACCCGGGGCCACTGGGCCTGAGGACTCCGCTGTGATCAGGACGGTCTCGTGCAAACGCAGGGGTTCTCACCCAAGAGACGGGGGAGGAGGGCCCTGCTCACTGCCAGCCACGCCTCCGCCTCCAGGCAACCAAGGGCCTGGGCACCGCAGCGCCCCTGCCGGGTGCCCACGGAGGCTTGCAGGGGCCTGACTGGCCCGTGAGCGGGGCAGCCGGGTGATGTCTCCCTGTCGTGGGGCTCGCTGTCCGGGACAAAACCGGTGGACTATCTCCTCGGTGGTGGTGGGGAGACCCTCGGGACCAACCCCTGGGCTTCTGCCCCTTCCACTCCCAACTGATGACTGATGACGGGTCGGCAACCTCTCGGGACACGCCTGCTGTCTAAGATTTAACCCTCGCCACCCTCTCAAAGGAAGGGGCCCAGCAGCTTGAAGGCGGGCCTGTACGGCCCGACGCCCAGGCTCGCGGGAGGGTTTCAAGAAGCCGTGAAGCAGGCAGAGACTCCCTGGTGCAGAGGACGGGCCCATGGACCCCGACTTCCCGCGTCCCTCACGCAGCAGGACAGCGGGAGAGGGCGTGGTGTGGGCGGCAGGTCTCCAGTGAGGCCCGCGGCCGGCCAGAACCATATCCAGGGCGCTGAGGGAGGCACTAGCAGGGCTCGGCCCGTGCCGGGGGCGTCACAGACACCCTCTCCCGGCCTCGGGCGGCGAGGGCCTCTGCAGGTTAACGGGCTGGTGAGATGCGCAAAGAAGGGAGGTTCTGAGCGCCCGGGGCCGCACAAACGGCTTCCTACGTTCCGGAGCGCACAAAAGAGGGCCAGAGAGGAGTCCGCTGGGTGTGCCAAGGCTCCCCTCCCAGCAGGAAGCGCGGCTCTGAGGAGGCTGCCCCGGGCCCACGGAGGGCCAGCCCTGGGGAAACTTTGGCCCTCCTGGCACTGGCTCAGGGCGCTTGTGCTGTGGGAAGTGGCCACACGGGCTCCCACGGGCCTATCCAGACGGCCGGTCCCGGGAGGACGGCACACTAGTCCAAGTGGGGACAGAGGCTTCTCTGTTCCTCATGCGGATGGATTCTGGGGCTTGATCCTGCAGCCAGGGCAGGGCGGGGAGGGGGGGGGCGGGGGAGGACAGCACAGTACTTTTCCACGAGCTCCCAGGGGAATGGGATGTGCTCTCCAGGCCTGGTCCACCCGCCCGCCTCAAAATTAGGTGCAGTGTTCCATGTGCTTTCCTTAAAAACGAGCCTGACGTGGCTTTTCCATAATTTCCCATGAAAAGCAGAGTGAAGAAATCCTCTTATTAGCGCAGCCCAAGGTGTGTCCGCCTGGAAGAGCCCCTCCCTGGGAGACCGGCCTGGCAATGTAAGAAGGGGTCTTTGGGACACAAGCCCACAAGCGCCGCACCTCAGAGACCTCCCCCTACGAGTGTTCCCGCCCCGTAACTGCGCTGGGCCGGAGCTCCTCCCGGGAGAGGACCGCGGGCCTCCTGTAGGCGGAGGGGCGGCGACCCCTGGTGGCCGGGCCCCGCGTTCCCACGCACCGCTTCCTGCTCCTCAGCCGGGCCAGCCTGCCACCAGGTCAACACCCCGGGGACCGAAAACCAAGCGGAAGTGCACGGGACTCTAGCAGCAACTCTGTCCACTACGCCACAGACCCCGAAAAAACCGTAGGCCTCAAAAGAGAAACCAGAAGCTTCTCTTCCGTCTTCCAAATCTACTTTAACCAACGTGCGCTTTCATAACAAAAAACAATCACACACTTTGAAAAATGACCTGAACTCAGCAGAAAGAAGGTCCCCCTGAGGTTAGGCAGAAATCCCAACCTGTGCACACGGCTACTGTCAACCCGCCCTGTTCTGCGGGGCCTGCCCCAGGCTAGCAGCCGGCAAGCAGGCCACTCTGAAAGGAAAGCTGCAAGTTTTAAACAAAACTTAAAATCACCAAGGTGATAGGATGGAGTTTAAAAAAAAAACGGAGGAGGGGCACCTGGGTGGCTCAGGTCATGATCGCGTGGTCTGTGAGTTCGAGCCCCGCGTCGGGCTCTGTGCCGACAGCTGGGGGCCTGGAGCCTGCTTCGGATTCTGTGTCTCCTTCTCTCTCTGCCCCTCCCCTACCTTTGCTCTATCTCTATCAAAAATAAATCGCCAGGGACTAGGCGGGGGCCTGGGAGCCAGCTGGCAAAAGCACAGAGATGCCTCGGTGGATGGAGGCCTCAAGTGACCCGGACCAGTGAGTCATCGAACTGGGTGCACACCCCCCGAGGGACACAGAGACTCGCCCAGGCGTCTACAGCACGGGTGGTCTCAGGAGCGCGCTCCCAGGGCCCTAATGCCACGTGTGCTCCATGTGTACTCGCGCCGAAACTGCTCAGAGAAAAGGCCAGAATGGCCTGCGGTCAGGAGTTGGCGTTGTCATGAGGGCCCTCCTCTCTTCCTCCCCCTGCACCACGGTCCTTTCCCCATCTTATGAGAGAAAAGCCACCTGTCACCCTGAAACCAGCTGGGGACACTTCTGAGGGCAGAAGAGCCCACAGGGCTCTCGTAAGTGGAGGCAGGTCTGAATCACGGGTGCCACAAACAACAACAGCGACTGGCCAGAGACGCATCCCCGACCGAGTCAGAAGGTTTCCAGTTCTTCCTCCACAAGGACTGGAGAAGGACCTCGTCAAGTTGTCATCTAATGGCCGATCTCTAACAACACATTGGGACCAAACGTGCCCCCAAATCACAGGAACAGTCTCCGACTTTAAGGAATTAAGCGACGCTGCCCAGACGACGCTTCCACCCACGTTCACCGGTGTGAACGAGCTTCTCGGTGCTTCCAGGCAGGCGTGGACCCACAGGAAATCCCGTCCCCTCCGAAGAGAGCAGCGCCCGCCCACAGATGCACGCGTCACCACGGGATACGCGCCTAATCACGTTCCACTTCATGTGCAATCTGGGAGAATCTGTGACACCCTACACTGTTTCCATCAACCGCATCCTAGGAATTGTAAAGACAGCTCAATCAAGAAAAACGTTAACGCTCAGACCAGGAACCAAATTTAAGTGCATGTATTTTTGCAACAGACTTCTGTCCCATTCAATATGAGCATTTGTATGTTGTGATCTGAATTCCTTTTTAATGTTTACTTTTACTTATTTTTGAGAGACAGCGTGAGTGAGCATGCGTGTGCGAGGTGGGGGGGAGGGGGGTGGGCGCGGTGGAGCAGAGACAGAGGGACAGAGAAAATCCCAAGCAGGCTTTGCACTGTCAGCCGAGCCTGACGTGGAGCTTGAACTCCCAAACTGTGAGATCATGACCGGAGCCAAAGTCAGACACTCAAGTGACTGAGCCCCCCAGACGCCCCAAGATCTGAATTCCTCAGGACTCCCGGCCACGCTCCACGCGTCACTGCGTGCACGGCACTCCACCCATTCCCGAGAGCGCAGCCCGTGCTGTCCCGCCGCCTCCCGTCTCAGACACAAGTGCCCCCGACAGCACGGCACCCTGACGGCGGTCGGTGGACGCTGTGCCCGAGGAAAGGCGGTCGCGGCGTTCGAACCTGAAGTTCACCCACCCTCTTACTTGTCTTACAGCCGCTCCCAGAAGCCCCGCGGCGCGAAGGCTTGTAACCCATCCCGCCCTCGCTGCGCCCTCCCTCTGGACTGGGACCCCGCGTGAGCCCACCTCGGCGTGCGCTTCCCCGGTGCCCGGTGTGGCCGCGGGTGGCATCTCCTTCGCTGACGCCTTCTTCAGTTTTTTGTTCCTTTTCTCTGTCATTTCGGTAATTTTTCTCTTCCGTTTTGCCATCCTGCAGCAGAGAAGGTAAACTGCTAAGAGCGTGACGAGAGGTCCTGGGCCACATCACATTTGTGACCGAGGGGAAGAGCGCTCTCCCGCTATAAAAGTCCAAACAAAGGCAGGGGCGCCTGGGGGGGCTCAGTGGGTTAAGCACCTGGCTCAGGTCACCATCTGGCGGTTCGGGAGTTCAAGCCCCACTCAGGCTCTGGGCTGACAGCACGGAGGCTGCTTGGGATTCTCTGTCTCCCTCTAACCCTGCCCCTCTCCTCTGCTCTCTCAAAATAAGCAAAATTTAAAAGAAGGAAAGAAAATATGGAAAATCTACACGAGTTAGGGGAAAGGTCAAATCCCCTAGGCAAACCGCCCATGATCTGGGGATGTTGCAGGCGACCATCGCCGCCGTGGCTAGGGCATTCGGTCACGGTGATGGGCCCGGGCCGGGCCCCTCGACTTGTGGAAGCAGCACCACCCGGGCCGTATGTAAGGCGCGACACGGTGTGAGAGGCGTCTGACAGGTGTGCTTTCTCCAGCACAGTGGTGTGCAGAGCTCCAGGAAAAGCCCGGGAACCCTAAAACCCACGTCCTTCGTGGGATCGTGCCACAGGGAACAGAAATGGTTGAAGGCCGACAGGTCAGGGAGAGCCCTCCCCTGAGGGGCACTGCCGGTGGCTGCTGGGACCTCCGAGGGGTTTCCTGTGAGGGGGTATGTGGGAGGGGAGACCTCGGAGTGTTTTTTAACGCCAGTCCTTTCAAACTGTATTTACGAGGTCTACTAATATCAGCTTTCGTTCTAACAAACTATAAAAATGTATTTCGTTTTTTCATGCTCAACTAACTCCCAGTTAACATTCTCCATGTTCCAGATCTTACAGGCACATGTAAATTATACACGTACATATTGTATACTTATGTCTATGTCTTTTTAAAAATTTACCTTCAGACCTGCGGTTCAAGGCTATGTATACGGGAAAAGGGACAGAAACCCAATGTCGTTCTCTGAACACCAGCTCTAGCAACAGAAGTTCAACAAATACTTTGTGAGCGCCAACCCTGTGCCAGGCATTGTGTGGGGTGCCAAACACAGAGCGAACCGCATGGCACGCAAGAGCCTTGACCTCATGAAGCTTCCCTTGTGGTGGGCAAGAGAGATCTATCGTGCAGGTGAGAAAATACTTTTACGTGGGGATGAACGCTACCGAGAAGGTAGAACAGAAGCGAGCGTAGGTGATGCACGGGCAGGAGGCCTCTGGGAGAAAGCCGGTGAAGGGCAGGGCTGCGGAGGGGGAGGCGGGGGAGGGGAGTGGTGCGTGCGATGAAGAAGGTACGGCAGGTGCACTTGGCAGGTGCAAAGGCCGGGCCTCCGGACCCCCTAAAGGGCCTGCGGGCAGGGAGGGCAGATGGAGGGCGATGGCCCCCCGAAGGCGAGCAAAGGCTAGATGCGTTCTGAGAACGTGGGCTCCCCAGGAACACGCTACTGAGATGTAGATGTCCCCCAAAGCAAAACCGTTTTCACGGGGACAAAAGGGGGAAATTACGTCAAGGGGGCAGCTGGTGGAATGAAACACGCACACCCCGCCACCAAGCAATCCACCCGCGTACATCAGCACTTGCCAGTCACTCTGTCACCACCTGCAGAGTGCCGACCATGTGCTGGGAGCTGCTCCAGGCTAGACCTCGCGGTCCAAGAGACTTATTCACACACAGGTGACACGCTTAGGGGGACACAAACACAGGACACGTGAGGCATCACTAACTGTAACCTGCAACCAAAAGAGAGGGAAAGCATTACGGGAAAGGTGACCATAAAGGGTGATCACAGTGGAAAAGGCGTAGAAACAGAGTACACGGAGAGCCCAGGTTTGGGTTCTCAACACCATCCTCTATGAAAAAGGAAGCGGGGAGGGGAGCTCCTTAGACTCCCTGTCTGGGAACCTTTGCAGAGCAAGGAAAGTGCAAGGAGAACCTGGGTTATCAAGCTGTGCTGAAACGCAGGAGATAGTCAAGGAACACAGGGCCGCGTTCCAGAGGACACAGGGCCAGCATGGAGGGCTCCTTCTGCCCCAGTTGGGGCTACGATCAGCTATAGCATATTGAAAGAGTATCACTGTTGTGGAATCAGAAAAATTCCAAGCTCCACAGTCTTTAATTAAGCCTTATCTAAAAAAAAAGTATTCAAAGCCAGAGGCTACAAATTTCAATTAGCAGTATAAGAAGAAATCGTGAAAGAATAAGAGACTGTTGACACAGGGGCTTTGAAAAGACAAAGGACTCCATCAGCCAGTTACCTTGTTGGGGAAATAAGAAAAGTTTAGCAAATATTTACACACCAGTCACCACAAAAGTTAAGTTAAATCTTTATTCCTTCTGTAAGTTATCATTAAAAAGTGTAATCACTAAGCCTATTTGCTAAAAAGGGAGAAAGACTTTTCCATATTATAAAAAGGTTTCTCTTAATAGTTCTGAGAGATGGTATGTCTCATGACTTTGAGACAACGGATGCTTGGTATAGAAGACATTTCCTTACATTTACGGTCAGTGATTTTCAACAAAGGCGCCTAAACCATTTAACGGAAAAGAACAGTCTTTTCAACAAAAGGTGCCGGGACACCTGAACTTCCACATGCAAAACAATGAACTGAGAGCCCTACCTCACACCAAACACAAAAATTAACTCAAAATGGATGACAAACCTAAGTGTAAGAGCTAAAACACAGGGGTACATCTTTATGACCCTGGATTAGGCAACAGTTTCTTACACAGGACACCAAAGAAAACAAACAAACAAACAAAACACACAGCGAAAGAAAAAAAATGAATGGTGGACCTCTCAAAATTAAAAATTTTTGTGCTGCAAATAATTCCAGCAAAGAAGTACAAAGACAACATCAAGAAATGGAAAAATACTTGCGGGTCATGTAACTGACAAGAGCCTTGTATCCACCACGTGTGAAGAATTCTTACAACCCAATAAAAAAGACAAACTCGGTGAAAAAACGGACAAAGGATTTGAATTCGGATGACCCCCCAAACAACACACAAGTGGCCAACGAGGACAGGAAAAGATGCTCAACATCACCCATTGTTAGGGAAATGTAAATCAAATGACCCCACTCCACATTCCTAGGTTGGCTCCAGTAACAAATACTGGTGATGCCGGAAAACTTGGAACCCTTATGCACCGCTGGTGGGATATAAAACGGTGCAGCCACTCTGTACAACAGCCCGGTGGTTCCTCAAAAAGTTACACATGTCGGGGCACCTGGCTGGCAGTCAGTAGAGCATGTGACTCTTGACCTCAGGGTTACAAATTCAAGCCCGACGTTGGGTGTAGAGATTACTTTAAAAAAAAAAGTTCAACACGTTACCATGGGTCCCAACAGCTCCACATGCAGATACAAAATGAACACGTCCACGTAAAAATTCCAACACTAACGTTCACAGCAGCATTCGTCATAGTAACCAAAAGGAGAAAAAACCTACACATCCAGCAACTGCCGAACAGGGAACAAGACGTGGGGGCGCCCTCGCAATGGACGGCACTGACCGGGCGACTCAGCCCCGTCCTGCCGCGGGAGAGGGGCCAGTCGCGGGTTACCGCACACGGTACAAGCTCGTCTACACGCGGTGTCCAGGACAAGTCCGCGCAGAGTGGGAGCATAGCTCCACGGGTGCTCAGGGCTGGCGGAGGAAGGGGCAGGAGGGGCTCATAGGTCCAGGGTCTCTCCTGGGAGAAGGAAAATGTTCTGACACGAGGTTGCGGTGATGGTCACACAACGCTGTGAATTCATTAAAACACGGGAAGATTAAATACAACAAAAAACAAAAAACTTCACACCTCTCTCAATTATTTGTAATAAATTTAGCAACACAATGCCCCTGTATTGGTTTTCCTTCCTTTTTTTCCCTTAGCGGTAACCCTATTGCACAGAGTTGTGGGACGGCGTGCGCATGTCTACGGCATCTGGCAAACCCAGGGCCACAAGTGTGCGTCAGCTTCCTGGTGTGCAGGCAGAACAGCGGACGGACGAGCCAGCAAAGGGAGAGTGAGGTGGTGAGGAAGCAGCCCCGGGGGAAGGTGGGGCCGCAGGGGGGTCAAGATCCCTCCTTTAGGTTTCTTTTTCCTCCCAGGCCTTTCTGCAAAACAGCAGGCTCCCCAGGCTCTGCCAGCTTCGGTAGGTGACCCTGTACTTGGTGGCCAGAGGGAGGCCACGTTGGGCGGGGGGGGGGGGGCGGGGGGGGGGGTTAGTTAGGAGAGTCAATTCCGAAAACTGCCCCTTACTGAGAGAGCTGACCAGGCACCAGGTCCTGTTCTAAGTGCAGGACACGCACGAACTCGGTTCCGTCGTGTGGCCGTTGAGGGCGGCACGCGGGTGAGGAAACCGGGGCGTCCCTGTCAGAGGGGAACACCAACCGATGGCTCCTACGGTTGGCACACATGAGTCACGCACTGAGCTCGCGCTACCAGTAAGTGTGCAAGCGATCCCGGCACAAAGAGCTGAGGGAGGACACCGCCGGCCTCCAGGGATGGGGCCTGGCGAGGGAGGGGGGAAGGCTGATGGCATCCTTTCTGTCCCTCGGCCGCGACAGCTGGAGGTTTTTAGCTGTACGCACACATCACCCAGCTAATTTGATAGGTTAAAAACGCCATTTTTTAAAATTGTATTATTCAGCGTTAGCCACAGGATGGTGACAAGGCTGTCCGGGATCATGTCTGCTGACAGGAGAAGAAATTGGTGCAGTCTTTCTTTAAGGCAATTTTTTTTTTTTTTCAACGTTTATTTATTTTTGGGACAGAGAGAGACAGAGCATGAACGGGGGAGGGGCAGAGAGAGAGGGAGACACAGAATCGGAAGCAGGCCCCAGGCTCCGAGCCATCAGCCCAGAGCCCGACGCGGGGCTCGAACTCCCGGACCGCGAGATCGTGACCTGGCTGAAGTCGGCCGCCCAACCGACTGCGCCACCCAGGCGCCCCTTTAAGGCAATTTTATAACATTCGTCAAGTGCTTTCCA